TTAAACTAAATTTTTAAAGAAAAGTTCTAATATTATAAATAAATTTACTTTGGGCTTTTAAGGAAAAACTATATATGCATTGGGGAGGAACTAAGTACTCTGAGACAAAATTTTCATGTTTATTATATTGAGATGTTTTAAAAGGATTTTTAAGAAGCCTAATTCTGCTCTCAGTCATGTTCTTAATCTTGTTTACCTGGCATAGATAAAGGTTGATTTATGTCCAATAAGTTATTTTCACTTAAACTATAACTTATCTAAATTTTAAGTAGAGTTTTATGATTGTAGGCTATTTACCTACATACAGAATAAGAAACCCCAAAATATTAGGATTAAAATCACTTATGCCATCTATTATATAGCAATAATAAAATGGTAGCCAGGAATAGAAAATTTTTTTCCAAAATACAACAACTGTAAAATACATAAGAACAAACTTAATATGAAATGTATAAGACACACATGGGGAGAAATGTAAAATTTTTCAGAGGAACAAACAAAGTCTTGAATAAATGTTATATGGTCATGTTCTTGTCTTAGAATACTTAATATTATAAATATGGCAAATCTCTTAGAATTAATTTTAAGTGTAATGATATTTCAATCAAAAGTTTACTAAGATCTGTTTGGAAGTTGACCCTATCTCTAAAAGTTTATCCGGGGGAAAAAAAAATCAAAAAAAATCCACAAAAAAACTGTAAGTTTAAGAGAGAATCTACCTTAATAAATCCTCAAATATACTATAAATATATAATGATTAATATACTATTGTACTGGCAAAAAAATATACGTATGAACATTTAAATGAAACAAATTAGAAAATCCAGAAGCAGACTAATGTAAAATATAATTCAGTGTATTGTGAAGGTAATATTTCAAATTAATGGGGAAAAGATGGATTATTCAATAGATAATTTGGGGCAACTGTCAAAACATTTGGAAAAGAGAAATATACCTAGGGGGCAGAGGGTATAGCTCAGTGGTAGAGTGCGTGCTTAGCATGCATGAGGTCCTGGGTTCAATCCCCAGTACCTCTATTAAATAAATAAGCCTAATTACCTCCCCCTGCCAAATAAATAAATAAACAGAAGAGAAATATACCTAGATCATCATATTATATCATATACAAATAATTCCAGACATATTAATGATTCTAATGAAAAAAAGAAACACTTCTAAACATGACGCTAAAAGCAGAAAACAATGTTAATATCTGTGACTAAATAGTTAAAACTGTATACATTAAAAAATGCCATAAATAAAAGTAAAAGACGGGGGAGAAAATATTTACACTATATATGACAGACAAAAGGTTAATATCCTTAATATATCAATCAGTAAGATAAAGATTTACAGACCAATAGGAAACAAAGGGCTAGAAGATAGTTAACTAAATAAGAAACAAATGGCCATAAGTAAACAAAAGATAAACATATTGCCATTTATAGTGAAAAGAAAAATTTTGTCCAATATTGTTGGATTGTGGATTGGGTTGTTGGATTATGGTAAACTTGTGAAAATGTGATAATTTAAAATCTACATTGTTATGATATCCAGATTAACTTTCTGTTCCTATGTTTGTTTTTGCAGTGTCTTGGTTTAGAAGGGTCTTGCCCTCATTTTTCACTGAGGAAGACCGATATTTTATGGCTAGAACTCAATTTTGTGCAATGGCCTGTACTGAATTAGGCCACGGGAAATGCGAGGGATGGCTCTGGAAAAAAAGACAGTCTAGAGGAATCTCCCTTTTTAGTTGGAAAAGATACTGGTTTATTTTGAAACAGTCAACTCTCTACTGGTTCTCACACCTGAATGTAAGTGTACCAGGAAGGGAAGACGATCTATTATTAGTTAGAATAGTCCTTCATCTTTGTATTAATATTAGAGAAGTGAATTTCTGACAAAAAGGGATGCTCATAATATCTAATATTAAGAAATAGGCCACTGGTATTACTTTCTGTTAGAAAATAATTTACAGTAAACTCACTAGTGTGAATAGTTTTGAAACCAAAAGTACCTGATTTGCAATCCAGGTTCTTTTACTTATTAGCTTTAAGGGATTGGGCAAGTTACTTACCTTCTCTGAGACTCATTTTCTTCATTTTCTCAAGGCAAGTAATAGTACTTGCCATGTATTTTCATCTCTTTCTTTCTTATATTTCTCCCTTTCAAGTGGATCCATCTCATAGACTTTTAAACATGGTGAAGTACTTCCATTTAAATAAAAGGCAGATAAATGAAGTGTCTTTTAATGATTTTGAAAGCACTCTAAGACCAGTTCTTTGGGTTTTGTTTTGGGTTTTTTTGTGTTGGACAAGGGACAAGATCATGAATTTGGTGTTGAATATGTTGAGCATAAGGTGTCATGAAATTTACCCCAGTGGAGAGAACAAGTCTAGAGCGCAAAAAAATTCTCCAGCTTTGACCCTATCTCTCTGTTTTTCACAGCCCAAATTCTTCATAATGTTCTTTATACTTGCTGTTGTCATTATCTCACTCCACACTACTCTCTTATTTCTCTTCTACCATCTTTACTTCATGGGAATAATTTTGATAAGTTTACCATGAGCCTCCATGTAAGTCCAACAGACATTTTCAAACCGTAGCTTACTTGACCTCTCCTGGTTTTCTTTAGACATCTCCTGACACTCCTTCCTCTGTCACTTTTGCATGATTTCCTACTATCCCAAATCTCTAAAAGTTGGAATTCTTCAGGTATCAGTTCTAGGTTTTCTTCTCAATCTATACTCCTTTTCTAGATTATTTTACCTGTGTCCTTGGCTTCAATTACAATCACACAGAGGTCACACGTATTTATATCTAATTTTCTTCTCAGTTTAGACTTACAAGTTCAATTGATCTCTTCGCTGGGATATCTCAAAAGCTCCTTCTACTCAATGCTTTCTATTCAGTATTTTCAGAACTAAATTCATGATTTTGCCATCCTCAGAACTATGTCTCCTTTCAGGTGATTTTCCTCTAAGGAGTCATCCTCAAACCCTCCACTTTTTCACTTCCTATAGTTCGGCATATCAAATCTAGCCAATATTGTCTCCTAAATATCTTTTAAATTCATCCATTTCTCTCCATTACCACTGCCTCTAACAAAGTTCAAGCTATCATTTTTCACCTAAACAATTTCAGTAGCCTCCTAACCTGTCTCCCCACATCCACTTTAGCCTCCCTCCTAATCTATTTTACCACTCTAATCAGAGCAATCTTTTTTAAAAGTGAAAATTTGATCATATCACCACTACCCCACCTCATCCCACTCTCCTATCTGTCCCCATTCCTAAAAACCATTGATAACTTCCCATTACTTTTAGAATAAAATCTTTAATACAAACTAACAAGTTTCACATGGATCCCATACCTCTCCACTCACATCTTGGTTTTTACACTCCAGCCACACTAGTCTTATTTAAGTGTCTCTAATGTGCTATGCTTCATCCATCTACAGAACCTTTGCATGTGCCCTTCCTTCTTCCTGACTCCATCACCTGGTTAACTCCTAGTCTTCCTTCAGACCTCACTTCAGTATATCACTCCTTCAGGATAGCCTTCCCTGATCTCCTCCCCCTGACTTGATCAATTATTATTAGCTCATAGCATCATGTACTTCTCCTTAATAGCACATAATACACTTGTAATTTTACATTTTTTGTTCGTGGTTTTTGTATTAGTGTCTGTCCCCCATGAACCATAAACTTTCACAAGTTGTCTCTTTGTCTCTCTCTTTGTCTCTCTCTCTCTCCTTTCCTTCCTCTCAATCCCATCTCCAAATCAACAATGTATCTGGCATGTGGCACAATATATGTGCTCAATAGACATTAGTTGAATTAATGAACAGTTATGATAATTAAATGAGTTAATGTATGTAAAGTACCATTGCACAGTGCTTGTCACATAATAGGTCCTCAATAAATATTACTTCCCATCATATTCTTATTCCCTCTTTCCCAACCAATGTTAAAAATGTTCTATTTCAAGAGTGAAAATTCTTAAGTGTAATTTTGAAATAGCAAACCATTTTATATTGCCTTCATAGCCTCACATGATGAACATGATTCATATCATTCATCTTATCCCTGTCCAAATTAAACAGAAAAAAACATAGTAAATTCTATCCACCATGTTTTAAACGCATTGACAGAATATTCTTACAGTTAATTAGCTTAATACAAGTTAAGTCGAAGTTCCAGTGCCTTTTTCAATGGATCCACTTTTGTGAGTATTTTTTCCAGGTGACCCTTTTTCAGGTTATTATTAAATTTTTGATGTTATAATTTTTTAATTCAGTGATTGATAATTTTATATTTTCATATAACTTGAATACATCAATAGAACTTTTTTACTTAAGAATTATGATGCATCTTACAAACCTACAACATATTCTGTTCCCTTTTCTTATCCTTGAAGAAATTGTGACTCAGAAAGAAAAAGTGACTTGGTAAGCTTTGGTAGAATTAAAATGATCAGATCTTACTAAGCTCTATAAATAAGTTGGAGTATGTTACTAACCTTAGTGTCATTTCATGACAATTTCTGAGAAATTTAATGGGTTGCTTGTAGTATTAGAGACAGAAAGAGAAAAAACAGGATAAGACAGACACAGGGAGTTAATGGCCATATTCCAAATACTGGTCTCTGATGCCTATACACTAAACAATTTAATGCTTAGCAACCACATTATTAGATTTTTTTGAAGAGCTTTGAAAGTGAAAATGATTGGTATATGTGATCGCCATTCTGCATTAGACAACTTAAGGTTTGGAAATGTGTTAAATATTGCTCCAACCGCTGCCTTTGCTTGTCTTTGTTGATGTATCATCTGTCTGTTTTGAATGCCCTAATAACGTTTAAAGCTATTCGAGTATTTTGAAGTAACTTTGTATAACCACTAACAGAAGAGTTTGCTGTTACCATTGCTGATTCAATAAATGCACAGTCCATTTGCTTTGCAGAAAGCTATTTCAAGTGCATGCTATGCAAACTGCATTCCTGAATAAGCAGTCTAGAAAAATGTGTTCACCCTGGTGACCTGGCTTTCAACTCTTCATTTCAAGGTCTAATGCTCTCTAGGTCTTTTCCTTACATTATCTTATTCTTTCCTTTTTCCTTTTTTGACAGGATACCAAGGCTGACGGTTTTATATATCTACCTGAATTCCGAATTGACTTGGCTCCACACTGCAGAAGAAGCAAGTAAGTAGTAGTAGATCCTTAAGTCCAGGGTCCAGATCAGCACTGTATAATAGAAATATAATACAAGTCACATATATAATTTAAAATTTTCTAGTAGTCATAATCCTGGTCCTTCAGAATGCTGGTGTTCTAGAATTATGCTGTGATTGGAATTTATAGTTAACAGATTCCATATGATTAACCTATTAGTTCTATTACTTTGAAATTAACACATTCTTTAGGTTTATTTTGTTTTACCTTCCTTTATTTTACTTGTACAATACTGAAAACATCTCTTACCCTCCTTTGGAGGAAGAATGATAATACTCATATAGTTTTCTTTGAGTCTTTCTCTAACTTACTACATTACAATATCCACTATTTTACAATGTTCTTCAAGTTATGCATTGTCTTTCGGGTAGCCTGATTTTTGTAATTAAATAATGTATGCATAAAATCATTAGCAAGCTGAGGAGGAGGTGATTCAATCAGCATTAAGTTTTTCTTTTTTGTTGTTGACTTAGGAAAGTCACATACGTGAACTTAGTTCCACCAACAAACAGCTTATAGTAAATCATACAAAGGATCAAAAAATGTATATGACTCCTGCTTCTGCTCTGGCTAATATTCTAGAAGATATTAGACAAATTATGTTAAAGATTCTACCAATTTTCAAGAGATTCAATCTATTTTAGAACTTGGGTACAAAACCCACCACCATTAAAGTAACAGAAAACCCTCTGAAAGCTGAAGTTGTCCGTTTAAGCTATTATATCAGAGCTATAAAATTAAGATGTTAGAGGGATGGCAGTATAGGACTAGGAGATATTGAAAGGAGAAGTATATAAAACTTACTGAATATTATACTTTTTCTCTTGTGTGAGTCATGCTCTTTTAATTGCATATCTTTTTTTTCACATTGCAGAACAGATATAATGAAACTTGATAAAGTCTTGGGAAGGTAAATAAATCCAATCAAAGGGATATAAAAATAGGTTCCATGAAGAAAGGTTAAAGAAATCGGTATAGTTTAGTGGTAGAGAGAGTCATGTAATTAATTATTATAATGTAGAATTTTAAAAAATGATGTGAAAATACAGTTGAATAATTGAAAAGAAAATTGCAAAGAACTGTATTTAAATCAAAGCAGGAGAGCTTGACTTATGTATAACTTCTAACACATAATTAGACCTTGCTATTGAGGAAGTTCATATAGTTTCCACCTTTTGATATCTTAATCTCTGGGAAACTTTTAATATTCAAGCCTGAAATAAGAAGTAGAAAAAATTGTTCTCTTAAGTAGCTTTCAAACTGTTATATATCTCTCTGTTATATATATATATATATGATTATATATATATATATATGATTGCTTAACTTCTTTTATAGTGAATTTAAGAGTGTGTCAAGACAGTACTTATCTGCACATCAAGCACTGCTGTGGAAGAGAGCATAACTTTTCCACATCTTGCCTCTGACCTAAAGGAGTGATTTATCTAATAGCAACAGGGATAAGGACAGAAAACTAGTCTTACTTTCAAAGTGGAAGAGAGTAAAGCTACTCAAAGGCCCAGGTCACTTGCCATTAGAAGTAATTCACTAAATGATAAAATAGTCATATGGATCACCTTGCTCAAATCTCATGTACATTAATTAAAAACTCCCTGGAATGGAAGCTTTTGGTTCCATTCCTAGGAATAAAAGGTGGCTTCTGTCACCTTCTTTTAAATACCATCAGATTTTTTTCTTTAAAGTATTTCTTACATACTCTTTGATTTTGGAAAACAAAAATCAAATCATTATCAGAATTTGGTAAATTACTTGCAGTTCTATGCTTCTTTATATTGCTCAGAACTATGTCTTTCCTTTAAAATCAAGGTTTCTGCTTATTTTGGTCCCTCCACAGAGGCAGAATGAGTCTCCCACCCTCCATCTTTGAATTTGGTTCTGATGTCAAGACTGATAACACCACACAAACACACAGCAGGACAATATGCAAAGGTTTATTATTTGCATGATGAGGTTTTTTTTTTTGAGATCAGACAGGCACCCTAATTGATCCAAAAATAGCTTGAGAGAGAAGAGAAAGGAGACTGGCCTGGCTTTTCTGGAGGTTAGAAGCTGAGGCTAGGGTGAAGAAGGGAAAGGGAGAGTAGAGTTTGCAAGCTGTCAGCAGACAAATATCATAAATGGAGGCAGACATTTTATTGGCCTTCTCAAGCTACATCTTGTCCTATTTGACTGTATTTAAATATATAAAAGGAATATAAAACCATGTAATTTACATTGGCAATACTAATAGGCAAAGTCTTTGTAAATATTCCCTAACTGTATTGCTCATGTGACCAGCACAAACACAGATAGACATGACTTCTTGCCCCATTTGTATCCTCCAACTTTGACTTTCTTCCCTTCCCTTTTATGCCATAAGTAGGGTTAAATTAGAATATGGAACTAAAAACATGTAAACTCATTCCTCCTATACCAGACATATGTATAGTCTAATACCAGAGCTTAGAAGCCATTTGCAGTTGAAAAGATCTCTCTTTGCCCAGTTATTAAAGGAAACTCAAAACTCTAAATTTGGTTCAGCTAGAGTGAGGTCCCATCTAATCAAAGATTTATAAATATGTAAATAACCAATTAAGGAAGAAGCTGTAGATCTACTGTGCTAGGCTTTTATTCATAACTCAAATGGCATAATCATGCCTTCTTTTCTCCAACAAGGTGTGCTTTGCTTATAAGGTAAAAGTTTTGATGTTATTTATGAATATTGATATCTATACATTATTAATCATTCAATAAAATAGAAAAGTGAAGAAGAAATATTTGTGAGATAACACATGAAGCAGGGTATACCAGCAGTTTCCATATATTTACAGTTGAGGAGAGTGAAATGCAAATGTCAAAATCATCAGATATTCACTTCAATAAAAATAAGAGTTACAGCATTTCCATTGCAGAAAAATCACCAAATCTTGAATTCCAAAATGTCAAGTTTTCAGTATATTTCAAGTTTTTTAGTATATTTTTATTTGCTGCTAACTCCAGCTAAGTAGTCTGAATTTTTTTAATCTTTTCTGTGAACTATTAATTATTAAATTAATTCCCTCAAAGTGGACTGTTCTGTGACACTATGTAAAGATACTAGTGCTGATTCTGTGATACTAATATTATGCAACTGCAGAGAAGAAAATATTTCTATTCAGGCTTACAATGTCTCCCAATATATGAATATTTAATACATTGAAAATTTCCATTTTTAAAATAGGTGAATTAATAATTCACATTATAAAAATATCATATTACAAATAATCTTTATTTCATAAAAAGTAATACCAGAACTTTTTTTAGGTACTGAGTTGTTTTGGACAAAGTATTTCTAAAGTAATAATTTATCAGTGGGAATATATGACTTAGAAATAAAAAAAATGTCATGCATCTCTTAAGAACACACTTATTGCAAGGAGCATGGTATATTTTTAATTGGTGAATTGCATAAACAGTAAGAAATATCCCCAATTTTTATTGTTAATGTTGTTTTGTTTTATCCCAAGTCATTTTTTTAGATAAGCCACACTTTCAACCTAGAATATATTGGATTATCTAATTTTTAATGTCATAATTACCTTTGCCTTTCAGAAACAGTCTGACTGCCTTAAATTGTAACTAACAGTTGCTTTGAATTTTCATTGTGGGATTATCATCTGATCGCTGAATTTCTCAATTTTGATAGACATTTAGTGTCCAGATAAGCCATTTATCAATTGCAGCATATTTACACTTACTGTTAAAAACAAAAGTATAGAAACATTACACTTTAAATGACTTAAAATTAGGGAACATTGAAACATTGAAGGATTTGATTATGATAGATGTTGAAATATTGAAATGGAGAGAAAGAACATTCACTGAATTTGATTTAAATGCAGAGTAACAACAAAAAGCTTGAAAGGCTGAACAAGATGTATCCTTACATGAATCACTGGATATTTTAGTTTTAGTAACAGAAAAGTCAAACTGATTCAAGCTGAGAATAGTGAGTATGTTGTGTATCAGATGTTTGAGTTAATGGCATAGAATGCATAAGGAAAATCTTGCTGAGTGAAAAAATGCCAGTTGCTGTTGATGCAGCAAAAATCTTTTTTATTTAAATTTCTGGAATTAGGTAGTTTATAAGAGAATGTGTTTACGTGGTGAGTTGATGAATTAGAAACAGGATTGTTAGGGACAATGTTGTTTAACTGTACATTTGCACACAATATAGCCTTTTAGATAAGTAAAAACTGCAGAGATATTTATATAATGATATTGTTTTGCTTTATATAAATCTTTTGTAATTTAAGCTGTTTTTAATATATTGAGAGATTTTTCTACAAAAAGCTAGTCTTCAAAGATGTCAGCAAAAATTAGATTAGTGAGTGATGCATATGAAAATTAACAGCAAGGCTAGCACCTGTATTCTTTGCATAATCACAATGTCATCTTGCTGGAAATAATTAACCACCTCCCTCTGATTTGACCTTGCAAGCTAAGAACAAAGTAAAAGAATTTTCTATTCCCATATGCCATCCTTAATCATGAAAAACTTTAATAAAAGAAGTAATTTGAAGAGATTTCCAGCATAAACTGTGTTCCTGGGATATTAAATGACAATTTTTGATTTCCTGAAAAGTTACAAGCAGAAGCATATTAGCAGAAGCTCTGCAGTGACCCCTTTAAGCAAACTCAGAGAGAGTGGCTACTTGTTGTATGTCTTCCCATCTTTTAATAAAAGAAGGAAACTTGGATATTCCTTCAGATAAACCATATGAACCACAAGCTGTAACTGAATCTAAAATTGAAGAATTAGCCACTCATCTAGATAAATGCCTCAGCCAAGGAGATTTCTAGCAGAGAAGTGGGCATGTGTATAAAACCCCTGTTACTGGGCTGATAAGAGAGGTGCAGAATTTTAAAAAGCAGCGGTAAAAGGAAATGTAAGATATGAATCATAAGCAATGTGAAACTCTACACAGCTAGGTAAATGACAGAGGAAAAAAGTGATCAGTATTTCCTCGATACCTTTTCTTTCTTTACTGGAAAGCTCATGTACCAATTTGGATGCATGTCTGTTATTCTTCGATTGAGAATTTCAAAGAATTATAAACTGAAATATATACAGATACTCAAAAATGAGTATATATATATATATATATATATATATATATATATATATACTCTTGTCATATATATATATATATATATATTCTTGTCATCCTACCACCTTTCAACACATACTTTGTGCCAGGTACTGTATACTAAACACCTCCCATACACTATTTCATTTAATACTCACAACATCTCTATGTGGCACTATCCTAATTTGACAAATAAAAAGACTGAGTGGTTAAATTAACTTACCCATAGTCATTCAGCTAGTAACTGGCAGAGTCTGGATCTAAAGCCCTCTGATTGATTCTATAGCTCCACATCATGCTATAGGAAAATTTAAAATATAAGTATCTATGGCTAATGAAAGAAAAATTAAGTTCTCCTTTCAAGGAATTTGAACTTAACCTATTGTGTGTACCTATAGAGTTTTAAAAATTTTAGTGCCAAAAGAAATTTTCCTGATGAAGTCCAATACCCTTATTTTACAGAAAAGTGCTGTTAGAAGTGTCCAATCAGAGTTGCTTATATATGGATTCAAAAAAAGGACACAAATGAACTATTTATTATTTATAACTTAGGTGATTGATTTCTTGAATATGTATAAGCACATTTGACTGTCCTTTATGATTGGATTCCTGTATTCTGTTGATTCTTTTAAAAAAAAGAGTATGTCCCATCAGTGCCTAGTAGGATGGTGCCTGGCAAGTGGTGTCCACTCATCAACTATATATGAATTGAAAAGCATTGAAATAACTGGAAAACCATACTATATTGAGAGTAGAGTCCTAATAAATCAAGTAGTGTCAGCATCCTCCTGTCTTGCTAAAGTGGGGTGCAACAGTGGGAACAGGGAAGTTATAGAAATGGTTGTTATTTTTATAAAGGTGTATCAGGAAAGTCTCATCCCCTTAAAGTGTCTTGCAAACAACACTCACAAAAGAACCATCCAGAGCTTAAGTCACTAAGGAGATGAACACTAATGTATTTACAGGGAAAAAAAGAACTGCTTTAGGAATTATGCATAGTTCAGGTTTTGAGTGACCAAAAGGAAACTCAATTTTCATAAAATTCTCTAATATTACAGACTACCATCTGTTACATCTACTACACTGAAATAGATGCCATTGGAGGTGTATCTGTCTTATCAGAAGTTGTTTTTAAGAAGTCTGAAACCATGAAATGTATTCATTGATGAATGGAGGATTTACAAAGAAAATCTGTTGATTCTAGTAACATTTAAGTGCATGAATCCTTAGTGTACAAGTGGGAGACAGGACATTGGACATTGCATTCATGTATAACTACAACTGATCTTAAAAGAAAGTTATTTGAGTGACTTAAAATAGGTAAGAGTCTAAAAGAATAGTAAGTTTTTTATATTAGGACACATGTTAGATCACCTTTAAAATATACTACTACCATTCAAATTCTCTCTCTCTCTCTCTCTCATATATATATATATATATATATATATATATTCATAAATGGAAAATTAACTTGAATTTTAAATTTTTGACATTAAACATATAATGAACTGAATAGAGACTTGGCTATTTATATTTATGTCTGAACACAAATTAATTGAACAGAATTTATTTTATTTTTTAAGTTGAATTTGTTACCTTAACTCAGGTTCAGCTGTTCACTGCTCAAAAACCAATACTCAAGAGGCAAGTTTGGGTAGAAAGGAAAGGTTACTTTAATCAGGAGGCTGGCAATCTGGGGAGACAGCCGGCTCAAGCCCCCAAAATCAACTCTCAAAATTCTGCTCAGCCATGACAGGTTTTAAAGAAAAAGAGGGGAAAGAATCTCAGTGAACCGTCAAAACAGGAGGTTAAGCTCTCTGTTATTTTCCATTGTGTGCAGGCTGGCTTACTCCTCATGGTCTTTCTTTAGAGGTTATCTCGTCTGCATAGTCTACCTGCAGGTTCACTAAGGGGGCTGTTGGGGGTAGAGAGCTAGTCATTTTTCAACTACACAATTCTTCTTTTAATCTAGGAAAAGAATCAACAGGCTAAGCAAGGCATTGTGTGCATTCAGCAGAGCATAATCTGGAATTAGGTTAAATATTACCTAGTGATCTCATTTTTATAATTAAGATTTAGGGGGAACAGAAATAGGCAAGCAGGAAAAGGGCAAAAGAGCTGCTTATATATCCCCACTTGTCAAACATCATTCTGTTTCTATGGGATTAGGGACGAAGGACCATCTTTTGTAACTTCTTCATGCTGACATAGGGTCCTGTATTCTCAGAGTGGAAGATATCGACATGGGTATGTAGTATCTCTGCTGGGCAGTAACTAATAAGTGTTATTTGGAAAACCTCAGTAATGCTTATTGAAGAAGGGTGAGTGGAGTGAACAAATGGGAAGAACTATCTACAAATAAGTCATGGAGATGTGGCTATACTTTAAAATTTAAAATCTGAAGTTTTTATAGGGAAGCTAAGTTGCATTAAAATTTTTTTCTAGCCTACCCCTGGAATTTATATTTGTTTACAAAATTTTTGAAATTTAACTACACTATTATTAATGATATAGAAATCATAACTTATTTAATGATATGAAGAAAGTTAGGATCTAATTTACAAACAGAAAGTACAAGAGCTATCTTACTGTATAAAATTGGGCTCGATATCTTGCATTCCTAATGGATCTGTAAGTGAAAAATAATTAGGATAAGATTTGTCTTGGGTAAACAACACTGGTATTTGTTGAAAGTATTTTCAGAAGTAAAAGAACCTTACAAGTTTCCATGAACATTAACATTCAGTGACCTAAAGGCAATTCATGTTTTAAGCATTTCAAACAGGCCATGGTTTTACATATTAACCAAAAGAAAATGATGCACAATAGTGTGATTATTTTATCTATCAAAGGATATAAATTAAATGCCTTGCTAGCTAAACTCTAGAAGAAAATAGAGGTGATTCATGTCAAACCTGTATAGATTTATCTTAGCTGTCCAAAGAAATCATAAAGGGAAAGGTAAAAAAAGATTTGACTACATAAAATCGACATGGGTATGTAGCTTTTATATGTCAAAAATGATATAATAGGGAAAACAGATTAAGAAGAATTGCCAGAGAAACAGAAAATATTAGTATTCTTATTATCAGAAGTGTTTCTACAAATGAATTTCAAGCACTAAGACTCCTTTAGAAAAATGAACAAAATAATTGGCCATTCACAAAACAGGAAAAATAATTTGTTAACAAATATATAATGCAGACAACCTGCGTACATGACCTCTTATCTTCTCATTAGAATATTGGTCAACAAAAGTGCAAATTCACAGGCATAAGTACTTCATTTGCTTTGATGAAACATATGCCAATAAAACAAAGAGGGCCATATTTTAATTATATGTTCACATACCAAGCAAAAAATATTGACATTTCAAAGAAGAAAAAGCTAATAATTCTGCAGAAATGTAGAATCTGGTTAACAGTTCAGTTATTGTTAAATCATCGTTCTTCACCCCTTTCATGCTGACTGTGACATTTAATTTAAAAACAAAAGAGCTGTTCATCTTCTCTAACAAACAAACAGAACATTCTCAGAGCACTGCACTAAAAATCAGTATCCTAATTAAGTCTCTGTCACTACCATATTAACTTTATCAAGTCATTTAATTCCTCTGGACTTTAGTTTACTTATATTCAAAATTGAGATAGTACTATATGGTTGCTGTGAACCCTTTCTGGTTATAGTATAAAATGTTTCAATGATTGTTGGAAAGAAAATTGAATTCTCTGCTCTCTGTCTTTTTGCCTTTAGTGCTTTCCAAGCCTCCCATGCAAGAATCAAGAATTTCTACTTTGCTGCTGAGTGTTCAGATGAGATGAATTAGTGAGTAATTTCTATTCATTCATTGACTAAACATATATTTATTGAGCCTCAGTTATGTGTCAAGTACCACACTAAGACTAAGTAATACAATGTCATGCTTTTTTAATAAAAAAAATAAATATTTTTTCAAGAGCTTAGTATAGTTGAGGAGAGCTATATTAACTGACAGAGGCCAATGTGCTGCAATGTAGAGAATGGAGTAACATGGTACAAGTTGAAGACTTGAATTTTAAAAGAATGAGCAATAAAATTGAAAAGTGATTTCATACTTACATTGGTCATTCTTCTGTCCATAAGCTGACTACATCTCTGTGCCACAACTTAGTTTAAAGCTTATCATTTTTCCAAGTAAACCATATTTTATCTGTTTGCATATCAAGCATGGTCCCTATGGAATATGATCAATGCAGTTTTACTTTTGTAACAAAAATTTCTCATGTGAATAAAGAATGCACTATAAGACATCCATTCATTTAGGGAAAGTAGAAGATTATTGGTATTTTAAATTACACCTGACTGATTTTAGGGTGTGTTGACTAACATCATCAATGAACCTTTAACTATACAAGGCTTTTATGTTCACATTTAATTTAGATTAAAAGAGAATTAAATTACTATAACTGGAAAGGAAAAATTGCTTATATTTGTATTCAACATGCTATAAAGAAGGGTTGTTCTCTTACTGAATGTTTATAGCCCACTCTGTATTTTAATTATGTTGAATTTAATCCTGTTTCACTGCTGGTCTATTATTTATGCCCTTGAGACCCAAGCACAACAACATTCTTAGTCTTGAGAAACAAACAAAAAAAACTTTGTGTTGATAGCACGTAAAGTAATAAGTTGCTATGAAAAAAATAAAATTCAGACAATATCAGACAGGCTGTGTGAATATTCCCAGAAAAGAGCCCAGTGATGAGTGTAGCTTTCCAGGGGCTCCCTGGAAAGACATTGAAAAATATGCAAATATGAAAATAATAAATGTGTTTGTTCTATTCTGTCAAGAAGTGAAGTAGGAAGATTGCTTGACTTCTGGGAGACGATAAGGATTAAAGGTAGAGTGTTTTGTTTTATAAAAGGGAAAATATGACCACGTTTACAAATTTAAAGGAAGGAACCAATAAAGAAGAAGACTAAAAATATAATGTTAAAGGAAATTGCTGATAAAGCACAGAGGCAAGAGAGGATGAAACTGAAGATATATGTGAGGAATTAGGTTTTAAAAAAGAGCAAAAGAGCTTCAAGGTAGATAGGAATGCAGACAAGTTTTTGACAAGTTTTTTTCTTAAAACAAGTTTTATTTAAATACAGGTTACATTACATAACATTAAAACTGAAGGAAAAAAAAACAGTTTGTTACTTCACATGGCATTGGGCAGCTGTTACTGTAAGTTACAAGCTCTACAGCTATATGACATACATCCGTTTGAAATTTGTTCCCTTGTCAAAAGTTTGTAGGCAAGTGGATTTAAGGCTAATCATTTTTGTTGGCTTCCTATTGTCTTCATGAAGTGAAGGAGGTAAGATGCTCTGGAAGAGTTAAATCCATTTAATATATTTTAATTGACACATAGAAAAGTAAAAGTGTCATTACACACAAAGTGAATAATAGAACTGACTCTGAGACATTTGATATTTCCACTAAACAATATTAAAATGATATGAATGTTCTCAGGTAAAAGCAGCTTTTAGCCTGGACCATTAATAGACATGCCTAATTCACCCTGACTTTCAAAGCTCAAGCACAATCTAAGTGAATGTATTTCATAATTAGTAAACCAGAAGTAAAATTATGATAGACTTAAAGAATTGTAGTGTCTGCTTTGCTCTCTCTATCAAAATTATTTTGTCTTCTAGTTAGAGAAATGTTAGAAGTATTCTACGATAAATCTTTGTTGATTGAACTTGACATATTGATTGTAAAGCAAGAACCTACATTTCTTAACCCTCTTCCAGGAATTTTATGTAATTTAAAAATTTTCAGGAGTCATTTAGTTTAAAACAGGTAGTTATATTCCATCATTTTTTTCTTTGAAAAGGCTGCATTTCTGATGAGTGATTTCATTGGGAATGTGAAAGAAGAGAAGTATACAATTGTTTCATTTAAAATAAATCTTGTCTGTCTACATAGAAATATAATTGGTTTTAAATATACAACTGGATAATGAAAATTAAATCATTGAGAATGGATTGATTTATGTTGCAAGTTTTCTTTTGAAAGTGAAAGAGACCACATAATTTGAAAACAGTAATAATTGATAAATAAAAACTACACTGAGCTTAAAACCTGATGACTAAAATGTCATCTAAATTAATGGAGTTTCTATGATCTAGCTATGATGCAATAATATATCATAGGAAAAAGCTTATAAAGTAAATTTGATTTTTCTTTAACATTAAAACATATCCAATATGATTCTGTCTTATAGAAAATTTAATATATGTTAGGATCAAATTTTTCAAAGATTATGCTCCTCTTCATTTTAATAAATGTGAAATCTGGGATACTGTATTAAATGCTGTGCCCCAGATCTGACTATCCCTGTTAGAATACCTGAGACTGTATAACACTGACTCTCCACTTCATGTATATAAAATTTTCTTTTTTAAAGTGATATGTAATACTTATATTTTATGTAAAATATTGTGATTTTTACTTTCAATATTGTGTAATATAAAATTATCAATATTATTGATGTATTTATACAGGCCATTTGAACTTAAAACTAAACACAATGCTCTGCATAAAAGTGATAGGGTTATAGGCTTGTTTGTTTGTTTGTTAATCCCACTAGCTACATAAAAAAAGAGAAGATTTGCACACATAAGCAGCATGAGTTGTCATGTTCACTCACCAATGGTTAGGATGTCTGGGCAAGTTCATTTGTAATTTATTTCACAAATCTAAGTAGATAGTGCCTGAAAAGAGATCAACAGAATCATACTGAATTATCAAATCACAGCAAGTGCTTGATACCATGAATGGCATTACTTATGAAGACTCAGGAACCTTAGAACGTACAATCACTCTTAGGATTTGACTAATTTGGACAGATGAGCTCATTACAGAAAGTCTGTATACCCTTGTTTCTGTTTGGAAAGTCAGTTATCATTTTCTCAGAAAAGCAGAAAATAGAAAGACTGGAAGTTACAGGTGCAAGCCACTTCCACCTGTGAGTAAAGCTTATTTGCTCAGTGGTACAGACTAAAATAACTCAGAAAAAACTATAAACCATTGATGAAGGAAATTAAATAAGACTTTAAAAAATGGAAAGATATTCCATGCTCCTGGATTGGAAGAATCAATATTGTTAAAATGGTCACAATGTCCAAGGCAATCTACAGATTTAATGCAATCCCTATCCAATTACCCAGGACATATTTCACAGAACTAGAACAAATCAAAATAAAATTTATATGGAACCATCAAAGACCTAGAATTGCCAAAGTATTACTGAAGAGAAAGAAAGAGGCTGGAGGAATAACTCTCCCAGACTTCAGACAATACTATAGAGCTACAGTCATCAAGACAGCATGGTATTGGTACCAAAACAGACGTATAGACCAATGGAACAGAATAGAGAGCTCAGAAATGAACCCACAAACTTTTGGTCAACTCATCTTCGACAAAGGAGGCCAGAATATACAATGGAATAAAGACAGTCTCTTCAGCAAATGTTGTTAGGAAAACT